TCTCGCTCGTGTTTATCACTTTAACATCATCATATATTACGAGAAGTTATGCAGCTGACTCCGAATACCACATTTGGCTCCAAAACATAACGGGACGAACCTGTTGCGTAAGCAGATTGGTGGACGCCCTACCATCACAGATATATTCTCATACAAAATGTCAGTGGTAGCTGAATTTTGGCGCTTACTATGAAGTCATCAACAATCAAATTTCAGAAACAAGTCACAGGCACTGAAAGTTCCTTCTGATAGGGTTTATTGAAAACTAGGCTAAGTAGTTCTTTGTTCGTATGTGAAATATTCCACAGTGGAAATGAACAGAAGTTGAAATGTAGGTGAATTGAAAACTTTGCTTGTTGCTCATTCAAGGCCTCATAGTCGACTTGATTTTGCTAGTGCATCCATTGCCAACATTTTAGTTTTTGATGTCTAGACCCAAAATTAACATCTTATGTTGAAACGAATACCACCCCTACTAATGGATGAACTCCGCCAATAACAAACAGAGGTTAAAATAGCTAATAATGAAACGTGTTGCCTAGTAAGCAAATGGGCCTAGCCTCCGGTGCTCGGACAGAGACCTGAAAAACTAGAAGTGAAAATATGTAGATATTTTTGTCCCATTAGTCTCTAAGGCGAAGGCTTTCACGGGTAAACAAAAGCAGACGACTTAAGTAAATACAGATAATACTCCGTGCTGGTCTTTTTGGTCGTTTGTCACGGCGCCCTTAGCTTGTTCAAATTTATTTCAGGAAAACAGTGCGCCAACTGTGCGTCTGTATTGATAAAGGAAGTTGGCCTTAAAAATTATACACAAGGAAACGTCCTGCCCTAGATCTGATATAAAATGCGACGCGAACATGCTAAGTAGTAATTGCTGTGAATTGTAAGATACGCGCTGATTGGGAAGATGACTTTGTTTAGGGGCTGTTGTACAACGGAGAAGAAACTTTCTTACATAATTCCATAACCAACGTAAAATGGCCTTTATCAACTGGACGTAGTAGCAAATTCTGAAGAAGGCTGTTCGTAAACTAAAATTGCTCTCAGCGTTATCGGATAGTTAGGCAGAAGACCAAAGAGAAGTAAAAGACGAGCACATATACGGTCCCGCAAGCATTTTTTTCCCTTGTATATCGTATTACACGACTGACGGAATAAAATGAAGATTGCGTACTTATTTTGCACAAGTAGCGTTGTTTGAAAAAATAAAAATTGATGTCACTTTAGTAGGTCTTTTCCGTGCTTAGTTACATGTTTCTGTGTCAAGTGACAACTCTTTAGCAACCCAACTTTTCCCACTGAAGCACATATCAATCGCAGATGAAATTAGTTTCGAGGAATACAATTAACCAGGAAATGCTTGGGGTTCTTGAGAAGTACCAGTATATTTATTCGTTTCGCAAAGCTATCGTTTTCAATAGATGAACCAAGAAAGCCCAAAATTTTTTAGAAAATATGAAAAGACTGGCAATTTCCTAGTGCGTAATTTTTTTAGCGGCTAATTTGATAGAGGTACGTCAAGGGTCATAACCATGTCCGACTTCTCAGCTTGTAAGAGCTGAGTGAGTTAGCAAACCTCATAGCTTATAGCGGAATAGGATAAAAACCCTGCTGGAGGAAGGCGGAGTTTATAGAAACCTTGAAGGTTAACTAGGGCGGTGAGATATGATCAAGACGTCTACTATTAGCGTGAGGTTATGGCTGAAAATGATCAAAATAATTTGGAATAATTTTTGTCCTCCGAGGCCGAGGTCGGCAGCTTAGTGTCTTAGCACTTACGTAGTGTGACTGTGTCTGACCGGACAGGTGTGTGTGCTTGTACTGCATGCAGTAATATTAAGAGTACTGACTGTAAGGTCAGCAAATCCGGGAGCATCTTCAACTACTGTAGATGACCACGGAGCGGCAGCGCATTGGATGATTCACACAGTTTTGATGACACGCTGTCGTTTTTGACTGCATATCCTTCTTCAGAACATCGATGTAAAGACACTTCTTCTCACGGTAGTTTGAACGTCGATTTTGACGATGTCCACCAAATGCTCCAGCAACCTGTGGCTTACGCGGTCATTTGCGCGTAACTGAGTTTTGAGTGATAGGCGACCTGCCCTGCATCTATCGCATCCTATCTTCTCTCACCTGGCAGAGGCAAGGAGACCGGAGTTGAGAGTGAGAGTGAGATTCAAGGTCTTTATGCCTATGCAATGCCAGACTTCGGCAAACCACGGTCCCTGCGGCCTGTTAGGCACTGACACTTTCTCTCGGTTCTGATTCCCTGTCGGTGCATGCGTTCGCGCTTCCACTGGGTTTCAGGCCCCACCTTAGGTGTCCGAGCAGCTAGGCAGTCGCCGGACAGTGGGGGAGAGAGTGAGGTCGACCTTCAGCGCGCTCCTCTCCTCACTGCAATAAATCCGATGCACTTGAATCTATCACGGTGCGCTAAAAGGCGTGGCTTCGAGGGTTTGCCAACTGACGGGAAAACTCGGGCCACCTACGTCGCTGCTCTTTTAGTACGCGTGTTTGTGTGTGCGTATATGAGGAGATGGAGGAATGAGAAACAGGCTGCAATGGCTCCTCCTTAATGTGGCCTTTATGGCGCTCCCGCACACGCAGGAGCCTGCCTAGCGAGATGGTCAGGGGTTATACTGAAAAAAAATAATACCTATCTGCTCTTCCCGGAATTGACCGAGGTTCTTAGCAAGCTGCCTCAGTCTATCAAGCGGCACGAACGAAATCATCAACGTTTACTTCATGAAGTAATGGAAAATCAGGCAGAACATCATGAACGTTTACTTCATGAAGTAATGGAAAATCAGGCAGAAAATCATCCGCGGGGATCGACTATAAGAGTTAAAGAAGACGAATGGCATTGCCGACAAAGACAAGGAAGACTGAATGGCTGTTTCTAGCTCATTAGCCGTCATCAGCCAGTCATACCCAACCCCGAGTGGTGCCCCACACGAGGCTCGAAACCAAGACCTTTTGACTAGAAGTCTAAGGCTCTAACCATTGGGCCAAGGGCTAGTTTTCTGGTCGGTTTAGATTGGTAGATACTGATACTGAATGATCACCAAGATAGAGCGGACAGGTGCTTTGCGTTAGCGACCGGTGAACTTTCATTAACGAGCGTTCTTGAGGACAAATTTAGATATTGTGATAACAATTTAACTATGCCGATGGCAAGTTCAGAGGCGAATTTTCACAGAAGTTGCGTCTACGTAATTATACTGATGTAAACCTTTGTTATGAGATAATTGATAAGCCCTGTGTTTTATATGTGCATTAATTGTGGTTTCCTGCTTTCCTTTAGAATACTGACTCTGTCCTACATCCTGAAGCATATTTTAAATTCTGTTGAGTGCCTTGATAGAAATGCCCAACGGCGTAGCCGGGTAAAGTGGACAAACCTAGTTTATCTTTCCCATTTCCGAAGACTGTTTGTCATGTCGA